ATGTGTCCCAGAGATTCTGGTATGTTGTATCTTTGTTCTCATTGGTTTCAAAGAACATCTTTATTTCTGCCTTCATTTCTTTATGTACCCAGTAGTCATTCAGGAGCAGGTTGTTCAGTTTCCATGTAGTCGAGCGGTTTTGATTGAGTTTCTTAGTCCTGAGTTCTAGTTTGATTGCACTGTGGTCTGAGAGACAGTTTGTTATAATTTCTGTTCTTGTACATTTGCTGAGGAGTGCTTTACTTCCAATTATGTGGTCAATTTTGGAATAAGTGCGATGTGGTGCTGAGAAGAATGTATATTCTGTTGATTTGGGGTGGAGAGTTCTATAGATGTCTATTAGGTCTGTTTGCTGCAGAGATGAGTTCAATTCCTGGATATCCTTGTTAACTTTCTGTCTCGTTGATCTGTCTAATGTTGACAGTGGAGTGTTGAAGTCTCCCATTATTATTGTATGGGAGTCTAAGTCTCTTTGTAAGTCTCTAAGGACTTGCTTTATGAATCTGGGTGCTCCTGTATTGGGTGCATATATATTTAGGATAGTTAGCTCTTCCTGTTGAATTGATCCCTTTACCATTATGTAATGGCCTTCTTTGTCTCTTTTGACCTTTGATGGTTTAAAGTCTGTTTTATCAGAGACTAGTATTGCAACCCCTGCTTTTTTTTGTTCTCCATTTGCTTGGTAAATCTTCCTTCATCCCTTTATTTTGAGCCTATGTATGTCTCTGCGTGTGAGATGGGTCTCCTGAATACAGTAGACTGATGGGTCTTGACTCTTTATCCAGTTTGCCAGTCTGTGTCTTTTAATTGGAGCATTTAGTCCATTTACATTTAAGGTTAATATTGTTATGTGTGAACTTGGTCCTGCCATTATGATATTAACCGGTTATTTTGCTCGTTAGTTGATGCAGTTTCTTTCTAGCCTAAATGGTCTTTACATTTTGGCATGTTTTTGCAATGGCTGGTACCGGTTGTTCCTTTCCATGTTTAGTGCTTCCTTCAGGGTCTCTTGTAAGGCAGGCCTAGTGGTGACAAAATCTCTAAGCATTTGCTTATCTGTAAAGGATTTTATTTCTCCTTCACTTATGAAACTTAGTTTGGCTGGATATGAAATTCTGGGTTTAAAATTCTTTTCTTTAAGAATGTTGAATATTGGCCCCCACTCTCTTCTGGCTTGTAGAGTTTCTGCCGAGAGATCTGCTGTTAGTCTGATGGGCTTCCCTTTGTGGGTAACCCGACCTTTCTCTCTGGCTGCCCTTAAGATTTTTTCCTTCATTTCAACTTTAGTGAATCTGGCAATTATGTGTCTTGGAGTTGCTCTTCTCTAGGAGTATCTTTGTGGCGTTCTCTGTATTTCCTGGATTTGAATGCTGGCCTGCCCTACTAGGTTGGGGAAGTTCTCCTGGATGATATCCTGAAGAGTGTTTTCCAACTTGGTTCCATTTTCCCCCTCACTTTCAGACATCCCAATCAGACGTAGATTCAGTCTTTTTACATATTCCCATACTTCTTGCAGGCTTTGTTCATTTCTTTTTCTTCTTTTTTCTTTTGGTTTCTCTTCTCGCTTCATTTCGTTCATTTGATCCTCAATCGCTGATACTCTTTCTTCCAGTTGATCGAGTCGGTTACTGAAGCTTGTGCATTTGTCACGTATTTCTCATGTCATGGTTTTCCTCTCTTTCATTTCGTTTATGACCTTCTCTGCATTAATTATTCTAGCCATCAATTCTTCCACTTTTTTTTCAAGATTTTTAGTTTCTTTGCACTGGGTATGTAATTCCTCCTTTAGCTCTGAGAAGTTTGATAGACTGAAGCCTTCTTCTCTCATCTCGTCAAAGTCATTCTCTGTCAAGCTTTGATCCGTTGCTGGCGATGAGCTGCGCTCCTTTGCCAGGGGAGATGCGCTCTTATTTTTTGAATTTCCAGCTTTTCTGCCCTGCTTTTTCCCCATCTTTGTGGTTTTATCTGCCTCTGGTCTTTGATGATGATGGTGACGTACTGATGGGGTTTTGGTGTAGGTGTCCTTCCTGTTTGATAGTTTTCCTTCTAACAGTCAGGACCCTCAGCTGTAGGTCTGTTGGAGATTGCTTGAGGTCCACTCCAGAGCCTGTTTGCCTGGGTGTCAGCAGCAGAGGCTGCAGAAGATAGAATATTGCTGAACAGCGAGTGTACCTGTCTGATTTTTGCTTTGGAGTCTTCCTCTCAGGGGTGTAGTCCACCCTGTGAGGTGTGGGGTGTCAGACTGCCCCTAGTGGGGGATGTCTCCCAGTTAGGCTACTCAAGGGTCAGGGACCCACTTGAGCAGGGAGTCTGTCCCTTCTCAGATCTCAACCTCCATGTTGGGAGATCCACTGCTCTCTTCAAAGCTGTCAGACAGAGTCGTTTGCGTCTGCAGAAGTTTCTGCTGCTTTTGTTGTTTACTGTGCCCTGTCCCCAGAGGTGAAGTCTATAGAGACAGGCAGGTTTCCTTGAGCTGCTGTGAGCTCCACCGAGTTCGAGCTTCCCAGCGGCTTTGTTTACCTACTTAAGCCTCAGCAATGGCGGGCGCCCCTCCCCCAGCCTTGCTGCTGCCTTGCCGCGAGATCGCAGACTGCTGTGCTAGCAATGAGGGAGGCTCCGTGGGCGTGGGACCCTCCTGGCCAGGTGTGGGATATAATCTCCTGGTGTGCCTGTTTGCTTAAAGCACAGTATTGGGGTGGGAGTTAACCGATTTTCCAGGTGTTGTGTGTCTCAGTTCCCCTGGCTAGGAAAAGGGATTCCCTTTCCCCTTGTGCTTCCCAGGGGAGGCGATGCCTCACCCTGCTTCAGCTTTCGCTGGTCCGGCTGAAGCAGCTGACCAGCACGGATTGTCCGGCACTCCCTAGTGAGATGAACCCAGTACCTCAGTTGAAAATACAGAAATCACCAGTCTTCTGTGTCGGTCGCACTGGGAGTTGGAGACTGGAGCTGTTCCTATTTGGCCATCTTGCTCCGCCCCCCCTTGAAATTCTTATAATTGTGTTATATGTTTTCAGACACCAGAGTGCTTCCTGGGTGTAAGGAATGTATTAGGGAATGAACCGAGCAGTAATAGGTTTCATTGTGCTTTGAACATTTTTTTATTTTGCCCAAATTCCTGTCTAAGGGGTCTGGAGCATCATGGCCTACAAACCATAAATTCTCACCAGATGGGTTTTATTTAACCCTATATATTGTGACTTACTTTTCAATCTTGGCCCTGCAAAACTGTCATTTGTGGGGGAAAATTTTTCATCTGTAAAGAATCTCTATTAACATAGCTAGATATTTTTCTTCCAGGCCCTCATAATCCTAAAGAGATAAACTAAGAGTCTAGTACCTTTTAAAGGTCTGAATAGGAAATGTTTATCACATGTTACATCTAGGGGCGGCCACTATAAAACTTCATAACAACTTGGTCTCCACAATTTTTTTTTTTTTTTTTTGAGATGGAGTCTCAATCTGTTGCCAGGCTGGAGTTCAGTGGTGTGATCTCAACTCACTGCAATCTCCACCTCCCAGGTTCAAGTGATTTCCCTGCCTCAGCCTCCTGAGTAGCTGGGACTACAGGCATACACCACTGCACCTGGATAATTTTTTGTTTTTTAGTAGAGATGGGGTTTCACCATGTTGGCCAGGATGGTCTTGATCTCCTGACCTTGTAATCTGCCCGCCTCGGCCTCCCAGACTACTGGGATTACAGGCTTGAGCCACCGTGCCTGGCCCACGGTCTTTTATCTTAACTGGAATAATTTCCTTTCCATTGATCCCAGGTCTTTAGACAAACTCAACTAATTGTCAACTAATGTTTAAATTCACCTATAGCTTAGAAGCCCTTTGCATTGAATTGTCCAGCTTTTCTGGACAAAACCTAAGTATTTCCTCCTTCTCCTTCTCCTTCTCCTTCTTCTTCTTCTTCTGGTTCCGGTTCTGAGATACGTGTCCAGAATGTGCAGGTTTATTACATAGGTATACACGTGACGTGGTGGTTCACTGTACCCATCAACCAGTCAGCTACATTAGGTATTTATCCTAATGCCCTCCCTCCACTAGCCCCCCACCCTCCAACAGGCCTCAGTGTGTGATGTTCCCCTCCCTGTCCTTATACATAGGTGGCTGCTGTTTTTTCTGACATTTAAGTCGTCCAGTCTTTAGTTCACAGAGCTTTAAGCAAGCACAGCTTAGGCTTCAGTGATTCCCAGTTAGGAATGGGGAAAAAGGAAAAGAAAAAGGAAAAAATTAAAAACATTATTTTGGAGACTTGCAGCCAGAAAGACTAAAATTTAATCCAAACTCTAAAAAATAATAAAAATTGAAAAACATCAGGCAAGACTAGAACTTAACAACAGGTGTACTACAGTTTTTGAAACATAATTTTTCTTCCTCCAGTTTCTCATTTGTGTTAAAAGACAAATCATGGTAGGATTGGTTTGCTTTATTATAGTTGGCCTAATTATTTGTTTACAGTGCAGGAAGACTAATTATTTTTCACATAGGACTTTTAAAGTGGCTTTGATGGAACTTTGTGCTCTAGAAGGAACCTTTTTTTTTTTTTTTTTTTTTTTGTTTTTTGTTTTTTGAGACATAGTCTTACTCTGTCACCCAGGCTGGAGTGCAATGGTGTGATCTCAGTTCACTGCAACCTCTGCCTCCTGAGTTCAAGCAATTCTCCCTGCCTCAGCCTCCTGAGTAGCTGGGATTACAGGCACCTGCCACCATGCCCAGCTAATTTTTGTATTTTCAGTAGAGATGGGATTTTGCCATGTTGGCCCGGCTGGTCTCAAACTCCTGACCTCAGGTGATCTGCATTCTTGGCTTCTCAAAGTGCTGGGATTATAGGTGTGAGCCAAAATGCCTGGGCAAGAGAGGACCTTTTTAAAGCCCAGCCCAGTCATGGATTTGTAGCATCAAATATGTATGAGTTGGGATGAATTCCTCCCCTCTTGAGGTTCCAAGATAACCTGGGGTTCTTGGCCTATCAGAAAGTGACATTCTTTACTTACCACAGATCAGAAACCATGTACAGGAACTGTGTACCCAAAATATGAGGCCAGTTTTTTCAAAGACTTTATTGGTTCCGTAAGTCCTTTGGTTCTGTAAAAGACAGCATATGATTCCAGTCAAAGCCTTGGTAAAATAACCAGTTTTTCCAATTATGTCCTGTTACAAAAGAAAACGATTCTTATTATACTTATGCAAATAACTATATTGCCATAAATTAAGGATACTCACAAGTAGGTTCCAAATTCTGGAGAAAGCAGGTAGAAAGAAACAAATATGCTCCAAATTTTTTTCATAGGAGTATACTTTAGTTAATTGCTAAAAATGGTTAGGAGCTTAATAGAAAAGTTTCCTTGACTCTGAAAAGCAAAATAAAATATTAGCAACATTTGAAGTCAAAAGTCAACAAGATAATGTCAGTCTCCTATTAGTTCACTTCATGCAGTTAATTCCTGTCCTGCTTGATATTAATGAAAATTTTAGCCCTTGAAGAGTCTTGAAGGTTTTTCCTCTATTATGTCACAATCTCCAACGTTATCAGAAATCTGCATTCAAGAGCACCTGTTAGATCTTTTTAGCTGATTATAAACCACCTTCTAAAGAGGACCAAAATAAGACAACAATCATTTATGGATGACAAAAAGCTTTAAAAGACACAATTGACAAGGAAATCTGTTATCTCTGTGGCAGACAATAATTGAACATAACAATTATAATTATTAATGATAACATACACTAAGATATATCAGAATTATGGGAACTTCACATGATTTTGGAACACATATGAATAACATACTTAAAATATAGCCCAAAGAAAGCCAAACCCATTTTATATGTGGCAATGCTTCCAGTATGATTTTTGGTACAAAATAAGCCACATTTCCCCTTCACATTATGTAATATTAATGTTAAACCCAATTCTTAACAAAACGATCTAGACATATTTACTCAGTTTTAATGTTTGACCACAGGGTAAGATTTTTATAGACCTTTTATAATCTTTTACAATTTTTATTAAAGAGCAGGTTAGTGCCCTAAGAGAAACCTATTGTGCTTTTATTTTAATGCTCAATTTACAGAAAAATTGGATGATACTCCTTTAACTTAAGCTGGTATGTTTACACACAGAATTTCCTTTACAATTAACCTTCCACACCTTGCTTAAACCTTCATCTTTGTTTTATTCAACTTAAAACAATCATTTAACCTTTTAATCTAGGCAAAAATCCACATTCTCATGTCTTTTTATAATCTTTTTACCAAAAGTACATTTTACTTTCCTTACACACCTCGCAAGTAGACTGTTTCTTCAATAGTTTTAAATACATGTTACACTTTTAACCGTTAGCAACCTTTAATTTTGGTGAAAACCTTGGTAAGTTTGGGATTTTAATTATGTACAGGGCATGGAGTAGGACTTAGACAGAAGTGCAGATAAGGTCTGACTTATTCCAGCATCTAACTCCAGGTTTCCCTGGCCTTAATCTAGCTGTAAAGCAGGCAAGTTGTATAGCTAAGAGTCACAGTGGCATTTTATAAAGCATTTAGGAGGCCTAATCACCTTTAACTTGTATAACATTTCTTGCACAAATTCTCCTTCCTAAATTCTTTCACAACTTACACAGACAAGGTATGACATGCCTTGACTTTCTGATTTTTCATAAACATCCCTCTTTTTAAGCAACCAGTTACTTTACTTTAGGACAATATTTTAAAACAGAAGATTCTTTCTTATATAAAATCTCTTTCTTTAATGCCTTTTTGCATAGGTAGGGGCAGGCTAATTTCACATGTCCTGAAGCCTTATCTGGAATTTAACACTCCAAAATAAATTGCACAGTTTTTAAGTCAAAAGAAGCAGTTTATGACCTAAAACATTCAGAAAACCTAATATTTGACCTGTATAATTTAGACCAAATGTTTACATTTTGAAGATATTTTTATTTTTGTCAATAATCTTTAAAGCCCTTTTTACTTTTATAACTTTCTTTGTATCTCCCTTATTTCCTGATTTCTTTTGCCTTGTTTTATATATAACCTTTAAATAAGCTCTTAATTAGACAAAGTTAGCTACCTTTTAAAAAGGGCAAAGTTTTAGAGTGTTTTCCTACAATATATTTTTATTGGAAAATACCCAAATAAGAAAATATCTGTTGTTTAATTTAACTTTAGATCCTAAATTATGCCAAGTTTGTATATGAATATTTATCTCATTACATTTATCTATTTATTTTAATCATTTAACTAGATTATTTACAAAAACTGTGATAGACATAATTTAAAGGTGTGAAACTGCCATTGCAAAATTGTAACTGAGACAGTGAAAATGAACTGACCTAACTGACTCCATCTTGCTTCTAAACTCCAAGCTACTTTTGTTCATTAACTTAGTTTATAGTTTAACTTTGAAACAAAGGTGGTAATAGTCCTTTCCCAGAGCAAACTTTCTTCATTTCTGTGGACTAGATCGCCTAAGGTGACAAGATTAGAGGTAAGGGTATTCTGCTAAACAATTCAACATGTAGCTATCTTTACTATATCAATATTAAAGTTTTAGTTATTAAAAATCATATAAGCACAGATCATTCTGTTTTGGTCTGAGTTACAGTTTTGTAGCCTCTCTGTCAAATGTTGCCACCTTTTAGTATTTGGCAGAGATAAGTATGAAATTGCTTGGTCAACAAATGCAAACAAAAATGTATGCTGGCAATTTTAAGACATTTCTAATATTGCTTCACCAATGATTTTGAAGCTAATTTATTTATTAAAGACTGTATTTAAGTCACATACAACTGAAAAAGCATTTGACTAGTCTTTCCTTTTTTTCTGTTGAAGTATTTAAGTGTTTTATTTTTCTTTGAGCTAATTAATTAGAATCTTTTATATATGTTTGGCAGTAAAACAGTAAATACATAGATGTATTACTCATGCCAATAGAAGTACATTTTATATATTTATAAGATGTCCTTTTTTCCTGTCTTAGACTTGCAAACTCTTGATAACCAGGTTTATTACCCTGGCAGTTGTCAGCTAATTAGTCTAAATCAGCTGGGTGTAGTAGCACATGCCTGTAACTCCAGCACTTTGGAAGGCCAAGGCTGGCAGATCGCCTGAGGCCAAGAGTTCAAGGCTTGCCTGGCCAACATGGCAAAATCCTACTTCTATTTAAAATCCAAAAACATTATCTGGGCGTGGTGGCAGGCACCTGTAATCCCAGCTACTTGGATGGCTGAGGCAGGAGAGCTGCTTGAACCCAGGAGGTGAAGGTAGCAGTGAGCTGAGATCACACCTTTGCACTCCAGCCTGGACAACAAGTAAGACTCCATCTCAAAAAACCACAAAAATAAAAAATAAACAAATAGGCCTAAATCTGCATACTGGAGGAAACAACTCTTTGGTGAAAAATCAGATGGCAAGATTTATATGTCAAAGTATGGAGAGAAAAAGTCTGGTGGTGCTAGAGGGAGATTCTAGATGGATGCCAGATCAAACATAAAATCATAGAAATCTATCACAGGTCTGTATAAGGAGACTAAGTTTATTTAGATATTGATTACTGATATTTTAGCTGGACCTTTGAGCTCTGGGCAGAGCCCACACTGAATCCTGGGTTTTCAAAAACGGAGAATTATTATGGGGGTAGACCATGTGATGCTTTTACAGTGTCATTGAAATTTTTTTCCCAAACAAAGACATTTCTAAGTATCTAAATTATACTGTTTCTTAAACAAACAAACAAACAAAAAAAAACCAGAATAACTTCTGTTGTAACAGCTATTAATGAAGAAAATAGGGCTTGGCAACACCCAAAACACATGACACATGCCAAGTAGCTGTGACATCTGTCCTGAGAGTGAGAAACAAGGAGAGTTACATCGTGGAAAGGGGCAGGCTGAAAAGGTGTTCCAGGTAGAAGGAATGGACAGGCAAGCATGCACACAATGTTTTCTGGGAATGGCAGCCATTATGGTGCTTAATAATTGTGGAGTGGAGGGGGAGCAGAACATAATAAGGAGAAAGCTGTAGGGTGGATCCTGAATGACATTGTAGGTCATGTGTAAGAACTAGGTCTTTATCCTTAGAGCAAGGGGAAGTCACTAAAAGGTTTGTTTCAGGCGGAAGAAAAAACATGGTTAAGATCACTATTTAAAGAGAATGCTTGTGCTGCTCTGAGAAGAGGGGATAAAAATGGACAACAAATGGGGAGCATTTCCAGGGATGCCAGGTGGATGGCCTGGATCAGAGTCCTGCAGAACTGGTGATTCAAAATGGTCACAACTTCTGTGCTTTGGGATGTGGGACAGAGAGACACACATGAAGAAGGCTACTGATTTCTGGAAGCAGCTAGGAGATTCTAAACCAGGAGCCAGCAAACTTTTCCTACAAAAGGTCCAATAGAAAATCTTTCAGCCTGTGTGGGCTGTATGGTCTCTGTTACAACTACTGCTGAGCTCTACCGTGGCAGCCCAAAAGCAGCCACAGAAATATTTCAGTGCAAGGGCAGAGGATGGTGGTATTCCGAAAATACTGACTTACAAAAACAGGTGGTGGTCCAGATTTGGCCAATTGGTTGCGGATTGACAAACTCTTTCATAAACCATACCTCAAACACATGGATAGATCTCTGAGGAATATGAGTACTTGAAAACATGCTTCTGAGAGGTCACAGTAAAAGAATCTCCTGGTACATTGCTTTCAATACAGAGATTTGCAGCTCCCACATCTGCTTCAGTGTAGGAGAACACACAGATCAGCTTGAATTTAGGTAACGAACATGAGTAGAAAGGAAAATTGGAGAGGGGCCTTCCTGGAAGCCAGGTTGAAGAGGATCAGCTGTATCTAGCACTGCTAAGCAGTCAAGTACGATATGGATGACACCATGCCCACTGGCTGTAGCAAGAAGAAAGTTTGGGTTGAGTGGTCAGTACAGAGATAGACCTACAGTGGGTTATGCAGCACAGGGGAAACAAAGATGGAAAATGGTGACTATAAACCTCTTTTAAATAAGGGGAAAGGAAAGATGGTTTTTAACTGGAAGAGAAGGAGAGCCAGAAATTTTTGTTTAAGATAGGAGAGACACTGTCATATTTAAATGCTCATGACCAGAATGCAGTAGAAGCTAGTTGCAATGGTGCACACCTGTAATTCCAATGCTTTGGGAAGCTGAAGTGGGAGGATTTCTTAAGGCCAGGAATTTGAGACCAGCCTGGGCAACAGAGCAAGAGCCTGTCTCTACAAAATAAATTTTTTAGCCAGGCCCGCATGGTGCTTCACACCTATAATCCCAGCACTTTAGGAAGCCAAGGTGGGCAGATGACCTGAGGTCAGGAGTTTGAGACCAGCCTGGCAACATGGTAAAACCCATCTCTACTAAAAATACAAAACTTAGATGAGTGTGGTGGTGCACACCTGTAGTCCCAGCTACTTGGAACACTGATGCAGGAGAATCGCTTGGATCTGGGAGGAAGAAGTTTCACTGAGACAATTGTACCACTGCATTCCAGTCTGATAGAGAGAAAAATAAAATAAAATTACCAGACTAGGTGGTGCACATCTATAGTCTCAACTACATGAGAGGCTGAGGTGGAAGGATGGCTTGAGTTCAGGAGTTTGAGGCTGCCATGAATTGTGATTGTGCAACTGAACACCAGCCTGGCTGACAGAGGGAGACCCTGTCTTTAAAAAAAAAAAAAAAAGTTGGTAGACAGCAGACTTGAGCAATGCAGGACAGACTGATAAGCTCACAGTTTGTGTTTTACAGGAAGAAGCATATTTATAAAAAGAGAATAAAAGTAAAGTATTCAGATGCTGGTAAATTTAGATGCAAGAAGATAAAGTCTTTCCAACTGATGACTTCTGTTGTTTTCATAAGCAGGACTCCTTTTAATCTGTTGACAGTGAGTGGGGTGGGTCCTGGGCTCACGGCCCCCAAAAGAATGTGGAGGTTTTGCTGCAGACCGTGGGAGAATAGAGCAGGATAGAAAGAGTAAGGGTTTGTGGGCAGGACTCCACCCCCACACTCAAGTCTAAGGCCTCAGATGAGCCTTTTATTAACCTCTCCTGGGTGGTTTTCACTTTCATTCATTCATTGTAAAAATATGTGTGATGTGTGTGATGGATGCTCTTGTAGGAGCTAAAAGCTGCCCTATTTTCATCCGTTCTACTTTAACAGCAGCCTTTTCCCTGCTGGCTGGTAGAAATAGTGCCATGTACTTGCAGCCCTGTGAACCTGAAGATACAGGTTTTTTTCTCATTCTCTTGGATAAGAGGCAGGGATTTCTGATGGGCCTGGTTGGGTTTATATACCACCCCTGAGCTACTGACTGTGGCTAGTGTGATGTGCTCCAGGAATGGCCAGATCCTACAGTGAAATGGGACATACACCCTGTGTGTATGCTACAGTCCTTCCCATGTACAGTTGAGAAGGAATACCAAAAGAAGGAGGAACAATATAATTAGAAGGAAGTGGGCTGAACAAATAATTTAGTGTAAACACAATGAGAAAACTGGAAATTTGTACGGAAAATAAAATAAAAAAGTGGCAAGAATAATATATACAGTCAAGAATTTGCAGCAAAAGCAGATAACACTGAAGGAGAAAATGTAACATTCGTGGGATGGTGGGGGAATTGTCATTCACTGTCCTCCATGACCATACCCACCACCAGGTAAACGACTAGTGGTGGCCATGAATACAACAGAGAGCAGAGTATCCCTGTTAACTTCCCCACTCCCAAACCTGCTCTTCGTAAGTGCTCTCCCAACCCCTCAGATACACATTAGAATAGGGAAGGCTTTATCTCTCTGCCTCACTGTTATAGCCACCATGCCTAGATCAGTATCCAGCAGGCAACTGGGGTTCCATTCATTATTGTTTTTAATTTTTGTGGGTATATAGTACGTGTATATATTTATGGGGTATGTAACATTCTGATACAAGCATG